GTAAAATCAATACATTCATCACTCCGCTCAGAATCTAAAATGACAGAAAAACGGAAATTTTCACGCAAAACCAGTTTTCGACCAAATCGATTTTTTTATATGATTATAATTCAAAAACTAATCACTATATGACCTGCAGTCAACTTTTTTCTATTATATTTATTATGGCAAGTATAATTAATTTTACAGTTTGTTTATTTCGTGTAAAACTTAAAAAAAAATCTTTTTTAATTATTTTTTACATAATAAATTAATTACAGTAAAAACTCATTATAACGAAACTCGTTACAACGAAAAACTCTATATTACGTAAATAACATTAAGTTAACTTATAATGGTTGGTTTGATTTAAAACCTATTAATTACTCTCTATTACRAAAACTCTYARTAACGAAAKAAATCACATGGTCCCTTCAGATTCGTTATAGAGAGTTTTCACTGTAATACGATTTATTCGTAATAAATCTTTTATGAAGTTGGAATTATTAAAGCGTAGGCATGTGTAGTGATTTCAACGATAATTCAGCTTTAAAAATATTATATTATTCCCTATAGTACGCTCTCATATTGACTATGCCTCTTTAATTTTGGCACTCAAATACTAAATAATATTTACCAAAACCAGAGYCTATATAGTATAGGTACAAAATAAATTTTTTCGAGATATCTATCTTTTAAATGTMATTTTGATAGATGTCCTCATTCAAGGTATATTAATATTAGTATTTTTTTAGTATTGCTTCCTTAAACAATAGATTTAAAATGTTAAATTTAAAATTTCTTTTAAAACTACTACATAATGTAATTGATTGCTCAGAACTTTTAGAACGTATCAACTTCAAAGTAAATATAAATAATTCAAGAAATAAATATCCTTTTTATATATCAATTATTAAAACTAACTATACGTCTTACCTACTACCCTTCTAATATATTAATGTCATGAGGTGTCATGTTCAGAAACTTGGACTTGTTCTTTAAAGTTCAACTCTTAGTTCTTTAAATTACTATTTTTAGATTATTACCTAGACCTAACTATTAAGTATCAATTCATGGTTTAATATACTGTCAAATTGTTAATCTCTAACAAKTATATACGTATTTATTTWTTTTTTTCTCTATTATAAATGTATTAAATTTAGTATACCTTGTACATTTACCTAACAATACTGTMATTATTATTTTATTGTAAATTGGAATTTTATTCCATTAATACAATATTATTATTATATCGATGTTTATAATTCTGGCGGTAAATAACAACCACGAACAAATATTAATTATCTAATTCCATTTAATTATAATAAATGATTAAATAATATTTAATTTGTCTTATCCGTTTAAATTCGATTGATCGTATAATTTCATGATGGCTGAAAAAAAAAATTGGGTTATCATCTATTCAATAATAGACATTATAATGTTACATTTAAATGTAGATAATTATTTCATTTATGTTGCCGCCCAAAATACTGGAATGTTATGACCACTGATATACCACAGTTATGGTTTCCATGATAAAAACTGGCGGGAAAGTCGCGTTTCGATAAGACCCGATAACTAGCGAGAGAAAAATATTGTGACTGTGACAATTGTAAATTTTGTGTTATTGGCTTATTGCTTTTGCTTATTGTAAATTGTAATATTATTTCCGTGTCGAGTACCGTTACTAAATTGTCCTTTCGCAATCATTTTTTAAAACAATAAAATCCATTTTCGACAGTCAATGTCAGTGTTATTGCTGTGATTTTACCAATAACGTCATCAATTAGCGTTTAAACAATGGTCGGACGCACAGCTAAGAGGTCATCGGACGACTGTGTTTTTGCTGATACCAAAAAAAAGAAAATTTCCAAAGAAATAAAAGAGTCTGTTGCGCCAGTGTCCAATGAAAAATCGTCCACTCTCTGCGACGGGGACTTAAGGCAGAAAARGGCATTTTTTGCATATTTCGGTAAAAAATTTACTGACAACAAAAACAGCACTGTCGACTGCAATAATGGCAAATCGAAAACCATTGATTCCAACAACAGTGTGACAAAACAGAATGTCAACACCAAAACTAGTTGTAGCGATAGTTCAAAAACTCTGGTAGTTGATACCTCAAAAAAAAAAGACGTTCTGCTGCCTTCTAACACTGCTTGTATCACTAAGTATGACATGTTTTAACAATTTCTTGTAGCTTTTACCTCAGTTATTGTTATTTAACATTTTTTCTTATAACTACCTATGTTTTCAGGATTAATGCCAATTTGCCTTATATTAGTAGTTTTGTCGAAGAATTAGGATATTTTCCTAAAGTCACACACACTAACCATTTAACATCTTTGGAGTCATCAGATCTTATACTCCATTTGAAGGAAGAAGTATTTCATGAAAATTTTATAAAAAATTCTATTATTAAATTTCAAACTGGTCACTCTCCACCTAAACGTCTAGTGTTAGAACCCTACCAAATGGAAATTAATTTTCCATACATGATTTCATCTTTAAAAACGTCTGTAAGTATTTAGAATTTTAAGGAAAAATCTGAAGTGTGTCAATACATACYTATTGGCTATTGTTACAAAATTAGCATTAAGATGATGCATGGGTTATTACTTATTACTAGCAATGTCTATTGCACTGTACCATTATCAGACATCAATACAAGTTTGTTTGTAAATACTAGATACTGATAAATAAACATTTTTATCAGAGATGTTACTAACTACGAGTATAATATTTAAGTTCAAACCAAACTTTTCTTTAGATTAACAAACTTGAACAGATCCAAACTTATATTTTTAATCGAACCTAAACCAAACTCTTCAAAAATTTTATTAAACTTGAACCAAACATTAAGAAAGTTAAAATTGTATTTTTTTTTTGTTTTATCTATAATTTATTAAAATTTAATATTTTTTTTTATTACTTGGTTGGATTATTTAACCGAATTATTAGGTATTTGGTTCGATTATTTGGAATTTCCTGTTCAATTTTCAAACCAAAATGAACTTTGGGTGTGTGGTTTGGTTCGATAATCAAACAGTTGGTAAAATCTCTAATTTTATCTAGAACATCGCATATATTTGTTCAAGTTATTTGTTTTGCAAATAATTATTCTATATTATTAATCATTATATAATAAATCAGTACTTAATATTAATCCTATTGTTTGGAACCAAGTGCCTTAATTATTTCCAATCTATTTTCATATTAATTTAACTATCTTATTAAATTATTATAATGTTTACATTTTTGGATAGTTGAACTTTACTACTATAATTGTCTGACTAATCTCAAGATCATCTTTATTTTAACTAGATATAATAGTATTAACCTCTATTATTTTGTTTGCAGATGATTTTCTTAAACCACTCGATATTGAATAATATAAATAAATATTTCCTATCTATTTTTTATCTTTAGCCTGAAGATATAAAACTTTAAAGACTTTAGGTTAAGGTTATTACAATAATTTAATTTATTTTAAATTACATTTTTAAATATTTCATATAACTTTTGTGATGACTTAAACTTTAAACTAAACATTTCATTATTTATGGTTTCATATCCACAAAAATGTCAGTCTTTTATGAAAATGTATTCTAATAAATATCTGCAATTAAATATATAGTAATATTATCCCTAAAAAAGGTTTTTATTTACAGGTTCCAAATTTTCCAGTTTCAGATTTTCATAAAAATTTGAAAAAAAAGCATTTAGTGGCAAAGAAATCTACAACAGATATTGAATCTATGTGGATTGATAAATATAAGCCAATGTGTAAAGAAGAGGTGCTTGGTAATGGTAAACTTGTTAAAGATTTAAAGAATTGGTTAGCACCTAATAACAAAAATTCAAAAAAGTCAAAAAAAGGTTTGTTTTAATACATACAATTTTTAAAATGTATAATTTAGTTTTTAAAACATTTTTTATTTTAATATCTTGTTATTTTTAGGTCAAAAGTATGATGATGATGATGATTTTATCTTTGATAGTGATAGTGAATCTGGTTATAAACAACAACTTAACTTAGCAATTTTACTTGGACCAAGTGGTTGTGGCAAAACTAGTGCAGTTTATGCTGTAGCTAATGAACTTAATGCAAATGTAATGCTTTTTATAATCGTCTTTATAAACATAATCATAAAAATAATTTGTTGTTTGATGTTTTGTTTAGGTGATAGAGTTGAATGCTTCCTGTAACAGAAATGGAAAACGTATTATAACTGATTTAATGGAAGCTACACAATCGCATGCAGTGGAGAAAAACTATTTATTAAATCTTATAAAAGGTTTTGTATTTATTATAGACTTAAAATTTATTGAGTATAGACTAACTAACTAAAGGATCAGTATTGTCATCTAAAACAAAAAGCCTCAAACACTGACACAAAACTTTTTGTATTAGTCTTAAAAAAAATGTATTCGCTTAATAGCTTAACATTGTATAGATAAAGACAACATGTTTTTATATATCAGTCATATGTGTGCACTAGTGGTGCCAAAGTGTTTAAAATATAGTATGACATTGTACATCAAGGGGTCCCATCATATTTATAATTTAACCATTAGATGCAAATCAAAGCTTCTACAAATAAGTAATGTAATGTTTAATCTAATCGTATATTTTTAAATTAGTGTTACAGCAGTAGTATCTTATGGTTGGCCCCTCATCTATAAAATCTACTATGACATATTATGTCATATATAAATTGGGTGATTGACACTACTTGTGTGCACAGACTTCTGTTTCAGTGTGGTTTTAATGTTTTTTTTTTTTTTATCGCCCTCGTAAACAGTTAATTAATAGGATTATAGGACCACACAAAATACTGAAAATAATATCTATTATAAATAAACATTCACCAATAATGATCCATCCATTTTTTTCTTTGAATTTTTTTTTTTTTGGGCTACTGACAGTACCAACTTTTTTCTATTGAAAATCAACCTTTTTAATGTAGTAAATTGTTTAGCAGATGATTATCTAAATTTCTCATCAATAAACGATTGCAGTAGAGGAGTAGTATTGTGCAAAAAGATCCTCCTTTGCTGTCGGTTTTAACAGGAAAAAAAATTGTTAAGCAGATAATTTTTTATTAATATTAAATATGTTAAATCAAAATTTGAACTAATAGTTTCTGAATATTTAAAAATGTAAACTCCTAAGAGAATGTTACACAGACATTTGTTGTTTCTATCTTACTAGTATGTAACAGTAAATTTACACTCAGCAGATCATATTTATAGCTCTGTTAGTTTAAAAATTAAAATGAATAAACATATTATACTAGACCATATATRAATATTATCTGTATTTGTAGTATGTTTTAAATTTAGTTCAGTTTTTAAACAAGTTATTATAGYATTTTTAATTTATGATTAGCACATGCGCAGAACTTGCAAAAATTGATCTATTGTAAAAAACTACATACAAATCCTCATACAAACAGGTTATCAAATAGTTTGATATAATTTAATGTTTAAACTCATAAAGCTAAACGTGATCTGCTGAGCTATGTTATGCAATAAGAAGACAGAAACAACAAATGCCTCTGATTATAGTTCTTCAAAATGTATTAAAAAATAGATAATAGTTGAAAATGTAAACATTGTTTTTGTTACACTTACTGTGATAATTTTTATAAAATATGAAATTGTTGATACATTAATATTAATTACTTAAATTTTCAAATGACCATATCTACCTTAAATTCTTCCAAACCTATTTTCCTTAGTACAAAAAGTAAATAATTCAAAACCTACTTATTAAAATTTATATTTACRTTAAATATGCAATCAACGTTTATTTTGATTCTGAATGTTTAATATTATTTTCTATACTTAAGGAAAAAATATGAAAGTCAAAAAACATAAGAAGAAAGAAAAAGCTAATGATAAAATGACAATTATTTTAATTGAAGATGTAAGTATAAAGTAATATCCGTATAAATGTTAAATTGAGACTTTTAATTCTTATTGCCTAATTTTATTTTGTTTTATAATAATATATAGGCTGATATTTTCTTTGAAAATTATGATGATGGATTTTTAGCTGCAATATCAACTTTAGCTACAGATTCAAAAAGACCATTAGTTTTAACAGCAAATGACCCTTTCAGTAATCATTTGCTAAAATTTGTCTTGTCCAATGAAATAACTCTGAATTTTTTACATCCACCAAAAGAACATTTAAGTAAGTAATATTGTAAATAACCAATTTAATCATATCTAGAATAATTAATTACTRATATTAATATAAGATTGCATTAGAAATGTATTAATTTAATTGTTCAATACATTTTAATGGACCATTCATGTCTACTAAATCACTAGCTCACTTGATTTATGAAATATTTAGTGATTGTTCTTGCAACTCGGCATTAGCTTTTTAAAATTKYATTGTGTGTTGTTATTTCAGATTGTTTTCTACAGTTAATAGCGTTAAATGAAGGAGTCATTATGACAAAAGACGAAATAAATGCATTTATCCATCCATTTAAACCTGACATTAGACAAAGTACTCTTCAGTTACAATATGTTTTGAGTACTGGAGAAATAGATCAGGTAATATTTATAAAAACTAATTATTTAAATCACTTTGTTTCTTGATCAATTTGTTAAAAATATWTTCAGAAAGTCCTAAATCGACAATCCCAAATAAGTTTAAATTCTATTTGGTGGAATTGGCCTCATTTGTTTGGTTTTCATTCGACCAGCATCAAAGACTCCAAAGAACCGAAGTGCAATGCTAATATATCTACAATATCTCAAAACCTAGATGCAATATCCAAATTAAACCTAATCTATTCAAAAACACAGGTCTGTTGTTTGAATTTCAGCACTAATCAATTTTTTTTTTTTAACATTGTGATTTACTTGTTTTAGAGTTATAATTTCTTAGATCCTCAACCATTTTGGCATCACCTTGCCATTAGGGATAGTTCTAGTTTAATTGAAACCGATCATTGGTCAGACAGTTCTGTTCAGCTTTCTACAGATATCACTCAATGGATATACACTCATATTAATACACAAGATTATGTTCCAGAAAAATTCTTCCCGACATCTGAGGAATTAAAGTAACTATACAAATTATTTCCTCGAATGGCATTTGTTGTGTACAACAATAGTTTTATCTATATTTAATAACAATTCATGTTTTTAACAGTTTTCGTCAAAAGGTATGGAACACATCTAAGGACGTGCTAGAACAAATAGGCTTAGATTATTGTAATCGCAAAAACGAAACAGGCTATGATTATTTGTCTACTATAAGATCTATTTATAAAAATCAACATGGAAATCAATCTTTTGTGAACCTGAGAAATTCGAAAATGTTTTCGTACTTAAGACAGATTAACATTGTTGTTGACAACAAAGACTTAAAATATTTATGTGACTCTTTTCACTCAGATTCCAATAACTGTGATCCTCAATTGGAAATATCAGACCAGTTTTAGTTTATATATATATATATCTGTCAGATTATTTCTGAAATATTTTTAATAATTTATTTTATAACATATTATATTAATTCACAAAATTGATATATCGGTAATTACATGTTTTTTATATATATATAATATATTATAATTGCATCCAAAGCATTTATGTTCTTATCAATTTTAATGCTTATATTTGTATATAAATGTATAAATTCTAATTTTATATTGTGTATAATATATTAATATAGATTAATATACTTTCTTAAATATTTTAGTGTAAATTAATTTTAAAAAAAATTCTTGTATTGACTTATGCTATATTCGGTCTACTTTAAAGTTGTTATAATAATTTTTATTTAAAAAAAAAACTGATATTTTTCTTTAAGTTATCAATCAATGCTTATTAGATATTACCATATATTGTATAAAAATATTTTAGACCTTTGTCAAGATATTTCATGATATATTTACTCTAGTCGTTATTAATTTATACTTTATATTATAACTATATTATAATAATACTGAATCACATTATATATAAATTATATTTATAAACTTTAAAGCTAGAGTACAGTTAATGTGATTTATGTTAATTCTTTTCTAATTTTTACACAAACATTTTTATTTTAATCTTGAAATTATCTTTGCGAAATCAAACAATGTTTGCAGCATAAAATTAGCTGTTTTGCTTTTTTATTTTTAACAATTATTTTGTTTATGTAAATTTATTGTGAGCCACAATATTTGAATTGGAAATTATAAGTGTCACAATCAGATTTAATGAAATGAGTGGTGTTCTGCACCTACCCAACTACGTATGGAATTATAATGATTTATTGTCATAAGCATAACTAATTAGTAAATTGTTACAATAACATCCTGTCGTTTTGTCATCAAAAGCATACAAGCCAACAAAAGCATCACTAGATCCTTACTTCCGAGTTAATACTGATTTCAACAATTTAATAGAATACATTAAAAGTACCTATCGTCTCCGTAAGCTATAACTTAAAAATTTGTGAGTGGTTTGCGGTTTGTAAGTTTGTTGTTAAACATTAGTAACTTATAGGTAAGTATTAAACATAGAAGCAAAATAGAAATTATAGTGTCAGATTTATGGTCATAAAATAATATAAATAATAAATAATCACGAAATAGATCAAAGCTTATAATAATATAATRCCCTATGCCCCTATGGATGACTAAAAGAGAATACTGCTATCAGGCCGTTACCGCGTTTCTATGATAAGACTATCTTATCAATTTGTCATCGTTATCACCTATGTTGGCCAACCGGAAAACGTTATCATGCTTTTTACGAACTGGATCCTGGCCTGCAGTCCCGAGATCACTTAATTTCAATTATTGAAAACTGACTAACTGAGAGAACTAAAAAGTTGCCAGACAGCTAGACGTCGTGAGTACCGGTGTCAATTTTTCAAGACCTGTTCGTCCCACCGTTGTTTCTTTTTGAACTGTCTTTGGTCGCGATGGCTGCCCCAGTGACCAGGGCCGAAGTTCTCAAAATCTACAAGACCATGTTGAGGGAGAGTGGCAAGTTTTCATTCTATAACTACAGGTAAACAAGGTTTTTCGCATATGTCCTGTCACCATTTCTATGAAATTATATTTTACGCACAGGATGTACGCGATCAGACGTGTAAAAGATGCATTTAGAGAGCAAAAGGCGGTCAATGACAAATCAAAAATCCAACAGCAACTTCTCGAGGCACACAAGTTTTTGAATATCATCAAGCGACAAGTAATTTAATATTATCAGGCACACCAGTTATTTCTGCGCGTTTTATGTTATTTATATGGTATGCTTTCAGGTCTCCTTGTCCTTTAAGACTTCAGTTTTCCCTCTATTAAGATTTTTTATTTGTTGTATCAGTCTTATTAACGCTTAACACAGCAAATTTACGCTCAGCAGTTTTACTCCGTTAGCTTAAAAATGAGAGTAAATAAGCCTACTCTGAAACTTGAAGGTAAAAACATTATCTGTTTGGTTGGAAGCATTTATTTCGATAATTCAGATTTTAAGTGAGTTATGTGCATTTTAGCGCATATAATAAATTGTGAAATAAAAATGCTCATAACTCACTTAAAAAATAAATTACCGTAAAAATACTTCTGAAAAAACACAGATAATGTTCTTACCATCAAGTTTCATAATAGTATATTCACTCTAATTTTTATGCTAACGGAATAAAACATGAACTGCTGAGCGTAAGTTTGCTATGTCACGTGTTTGTAAGACTGAGACAATAAATACGGTTGTTGCGCCCTCTTAACTCAAAATTATTACAATTATGTTTATTTTATGTTATTTTTTTGAATAAGTATTTCAGGCTGAAGAATAGAAAAATGTATTATGTAGGAAATCCTATTGTTTTATTTATGAGTCATAAATTACATATTATTTTATTGCTTTAGTTTATGGACTGTAATTACTAATTAGATTAAAATTGTATGGAAAAATGTATCAGTTTGTTGTTTGAATCATTTGAATAATAGTAATAGTACAATAAGACATTGTTAATACTACAGTGCATATTATAAGTTATTAAAAACAATCAAAAGCCGGTATATAAATAATTTTCTATAACTTAATAATACTAAACAACAATTTACAATTTTTTCAATTAAGTTTCTGAGCTTAACAAAGGATGTAGATATTATTGTATATTATTGTAATTATTATTTTTGTCTGTTTTCATGTTCTAAAACAGAAAATTAACACATAATTTCCCTCATTTATGGTTTTTAGTAAGTAAATTTGTTCTAGTTGGTTCTTTGAGGATCAAAAGTATTTTTTTGCTATTGGTTTTTGACTTAATTATTATTATTATTTAATAAATTAGTGAATATAAAATTCTTGCAATTTTTTTCATATTTTTTTTTCATGCATTTTCTACATTTGATAATATTTTAATATTTCAAATTAAATTGTCTAAGAACCGACAATGGAAATTTTTTACCGTACTGTTTAAATTTTACAATTATACCTTTGTGTCATTCATCACTTTTTGAGATGTTAAAAATTAYATTTTCTTCAACAGCATCTTTCTGGTAGGAAAATGAATCTAGTTGGTACTTTGGGAAATTAAAAGTAAAAAATATTCAATAGTTATCAAAAGCGTTACGAAAAACAAGCATAATATTAAGGAAATACTGAGATCTCTGATAAATTATTCTAACAGTTAAAAAATATCAAAAATGTACAAGCCTAATTTGTTTTTACAAGAGTACCTATTTAGTTTAAATTTGAAAACTATGTTGATACTTTAATCTTGAAAATGTAATACAAACTAGCATATTATAGTTTTTGTTATGTAATGACAACATCAAACATTGATACTACACGCTTGGAAAGTTAAAATGTTGATGTATTTTTTTTTTTTGTATGTTAGGTATGTAACAATTTTTAATATGTATTTTAATAACAATCCTGAAGATAAAATACAAGCTGGGTTATTTGTTAATAATAATATCCTATAATAAAACAATTTATTTTAGTAATCAGTTTTTATACAAAATTATTTATCACAGTTTTAAATCAAATACATCTATTAAGGTCGCCACACACTGCAGCGGTGGCGGTTACGGTAAAATGAACATTTTAATGGTTGCGGAACCGCCAAGACAAAAAAAATTTACCACCTCCGCTGCAGTATGTGGTGACCTTTACAGAGTTATAGGAACACATTAATGAGATATGCTTGATACCTACTTTAAAGCAGAGTTAGTTTCAGGTGTTTTTATATATATATATATATATTTTATGTTCTTATAGGCCAACAGTTAATTTTACTGTCATTTAATATAGGTCTGTTTTATTATTGAATTTTAATTGCTATATTTTAAATTATATCAGTAAATATTTAGTATACAAACTGTTTACAATTAATTCTAAAGATACAAATCAAGTACAAAGGTAATAGGTACCTAATAAACTATTTATTTACTCTGACTAGTATAGTTTATGTATTTGAATAGTTATCTTGATAAATTGTATGTGATTTAATTTAAATACTGACTAAAATGTATTTTATTAGTACTTAGTAGTGATCACCTAYTTATTTCTATTTTATTAATGGTTATTTAATAGGAGTTTAATATACATTCTCAAACAATAACATGTTTAGTTAGTAGATTAACTATATTAAAATCATAGTAATTGTTCATGCATTAATTATGGGAAAATATTGTATTCTCTTTCACTTATTATTGAATAACCATTTTACATCTAAAGGGCTAGAGTTCTGATGTAAAGTACTCAAATGTGTACATTTGTGTAAGTTTTTTTATGTTTGATACAATACAGCTGTCCATAATAAGCAATAATAATATTATTATTTTAATTAACTACAATTTGTTTTAAAAATGATTAATCATTGTTTTGTTTTTGTGTTSTAGGTAATTGTGGGAGATTTATACAAATTTGATAAACTCGTAATTGAAGTAGAAAATAATGGAAACAATGAAAAACATTAGTTTTTGCGTCATGCTGCATTCGAAAATAAACTGAAAGTGTACTTGAATTTATCAGTCAGATTTTCAAATGTCTACACATAAGTTTTTTTAAATGTTTGTTCCTATGTTAAATACTGATATATATTGTTATATTGATGAACACCATCATTGTTTACATTGAGTGATGTCAAATATTAACTGAAATTTGTAAAAACTGATGGTAACAACCGGTTTTTGTGAAATTATGCGTTTTAAGCATTTTATTTTTGTACATTGTAAACAGCTATACAACTTAATAGTAGATACATCTCTTGTAATTGTTTTTRCTTATGATAATATATTGTAATATTGTATAGTTTTTAGTAACGTTTCACAATTAAGTATAAAATTTATTAAAAATATTATTTTTATTGATTTTAAGTTGTATTAATTATCAGTAGGTTAGTAAAAAATATATAATAATTATAAGATATCATATAAAAATGTGACCAGAAGTGTAATATTCACTATTTAGATTGTAGCAGTTAGTTAAACCAGTCGTCATTAGTGATGGGTCAAAATCTGTATTAAAAAATTACAAACCAAACTATCAAGCCTATTTCGCTATTCAAAAATCAAACTTAAAAATATTCTAATCCAGCAATATTTCAAATTATTTTTCTTTACTTTGTAGTAATTAAAATGAAAGTATCATAATAGTATAATAGTATTAAACTATAAACTGTTATTTTAATTTTATTAGTATTAGGTATAATAAAATAAAATATAACTACTGATTAAAAAAAATATTAAAGGAATATATTATATTTAATTTAATTTATGTTAGTTACCGTCGCTAATTAAAAAGTTTATTTTGGCAACGACAAATAGGTATTATACTATATACTTAATATTAATATTAATATTAAGATATTGATGTAGGTATAGGTAAATACCTACTTAATTTTAAATGATAATTATTGTACATTTGTAGCTGGAACTACCTTATAAATTTTAATAATTTATTATAGGTAATATCTAGATAGTTTCTGGTACTTAATTATTGTATTATTATTGAGTATACTGTAAATATCAACAAATTAATTAAGACGTCGACACCGTTTTCAAATATTTATACATTTTACACTGCTATTAGTGCTATTTACCCTTTAAATTTCGTTTTATTAGTTCGAGTCTTTGTAGGTTGTACGAAGTAAAAAAATCCGTCGATAAGTTTAAATGTGGTCGTTTTTTTGTCAAGGAAAATAAACCTACAAAATTATTAACAACAAGTCAACCGTAACAACTCTAATTTAAACATTCTATAAATGGTTAAATATACATAAAAATAATCTTTATGAAATCATGTGCTGCACTATGTGTATCGGTAATAGGTATGCATCAAAAAACACTCAAGTATTAATCGTGCTTAAGGGTCTTGATAAAAAACCCTAAACACATAAACATGMAATTTTCTCGAAATTATCGTTGAAGAAACCTACGGAATTTCTTCTAAGCAAAACGACTGATGTATTTACAATTTCATTCAACCGTGCGGAGATGTTAGAGGAACATGGCGATGGCCAGATAAAAATCAGTTGTATATATGGTATTGCGGCTCTACTAATACTATTACCACACGACGATTGCAGTCGATGGCTGTATTGCACGGTGTTAGTAATGACTAATGAATAAGGACGACCCCATTTGGCATTTATTGTCGCCGTCTTACCAACGCATAAATTACATGTGCGGACTTTCTTCGGGGCTACCGCGCCCGGCAAATATAATGAACAGGGCTCGGAAGTTATAGCACTAATAAAGTAATTTTTTAGCGCTTTAATATGCACTTAAAACACCACAATAAGCGCTATAAATAGCA